TGGGTTCAGGTTTGCATTTGGGTGAGAGGTCCCTGGCCTGGGATGAGAGGCATTGACCAGCAACATCCACCCCTCTCTGGAGCTTTTATGGAAAAATAAACAACTGGGATTTGGGACTTGGGTCCCCAAAGTGATTCATTAACTGGGGGGTGGGATGGGGAAGGCAGTCACTGGTGGCCTGGGGTCCATAGGGGATGGAGGGAGCCCTTAGAGCTGGAGCTGGATCCTTCAGCAGAACCAACTGAGAAAGGTTTGAGAGGGACGAAAATAGGATAAGGAGCTGTAAGGCCCGTTGGTAGTGATCTCAGCTGTTTGGGGTGGGCTTGGAGTGGGGAAAAGGCATAGGGGAGAGAAGCAACATGGGCAAAGAAGAATTAAGAATCAAGGATGAAAAAGTATCAAACAATTGCACTTTCCTTTCCAAAAATGTGCATCTCAGATGCACTGCGCCATGTGTGAGCTTTCTTGTATTGAAAACAAAAGAAAACGAGCAGCTGGGAGAGCCAGCACAGCTCCAACTCCATGCAACTCCATTACCTACAATGCCCTCAGCTTGCATCACCCCATAAACGGCGATCTGGCATCACATGGCCAAACCATTGCACTGGTGTTGAGCTCAAGACCTCACGCCCTTTGGTTCCCTACAGCCCACCTGGCAGACAACCCCCAAAATCAGCGGTACACAGCCAAGAGCTTGTTTGCATTGCAGAGCAGGAGGGGAGGAAATGAAGCCCCATGGGATGGTGCAGAGGGACAGGGGAGAACACAGCCATGCAGGGATAAATGGGGTCCCTGAGCTGCTCGCTGACAGCTCCCGGCATTTGGGATTTTTATAGGCTCAGATGTTTGTAACCAAGTGTAATGTTTCTGCAGGGGGTGGGTTAGATTGCGGTGAAACATATTTGCAGCTCTAGCTGTCTTCCAAGGAAAATATATGGGCTAACAGATTCGACATATTTATCACTACAGCTTCTGGAAGTGTTCAGTGATCGTTTATCCTGAACAATTCTGAAAAATACATCAGCATCAGCGTGGCGTGTTTAGCAAGCATTTGGTCCTGCACATATATTATTCATTGGAACGGTTTGATTATAGCTGCTTCCTATCAGCCACCCTGTGATTTTCATTCTCCATAAAACCATGACCATTTTCTTTATTAATCGAGACGCAGAGGAGCCCCAAAGGGCAACATGCCAGCATGGCGCTAAGGGACTCGGTGTCAAGGGAACCTTTTAGGGAACACAACCCAACACAGAGCTGGGGCTGGAAGGGACCCACAGCAAAATGCATGGAGCCAGGTGAGTGCCATCAGGAGAGCCACCCTGTGCCAGTCCCAGGGACAGAAAGACGAATGGTTGCAGCCTCTCTCCATCTATGAACTGGCTTTGGATGTGCTCTGCTGAGTGCCACCCGTTACTCAGAATCAGTCATTAATCCTCCACGCTTGCATTTGGTTGAAGAAAACATTCCACGGGAGGTATAAATCATCACCAGACTGAGATGGATGAATGCACCATTTACATGGATAACACACAGTTTGACTTCTCCCACACCGCTCTGTAGCAGCAGTGTGGGTTTGGGGCACACTGTTTTACTCGGGGTGGGTTCTCACTCTGTGTTTCACTCCCCTTGGTCTGCTCCTGCTGTTGGGTGCTGTTGGGTGAGCTCTGCACTCCCATGGGACTCTGGCTCTTCTCCAAGCAGATGCACCCCAGGAGCAGTGGAAAAGCCACCAAGTGCTCATTTCCCCACGACCACCAGGAGCAGGAAAGGCCCAGGGGCTGGAGCTTATTTGTTTCCCTGGCCCTGGCCCCTATTGGAATCTGAGTGCAGCGTTTGGAAAAAAAATAATGATTTATGAGACACTAACTCCACAAAGCATTCGTTTGCTTCCCTCTCTGCTTGCCGCTTATCGCCCAGCAAAGCTTTCATGTGCAAAAAAAAAGCATTGACTTAGGAAAAGAAAAAACACAATTGCAGAGCTAGAGGGAAGTCGGCACACCGCAGGGAGGCTGCCCACCCCCCAGCATGAAGGGTACCCGGGTGCCACGCAGGTTTGCAGGCAGCTGCACATCTCTGGTTCTGTGCTGTGGGGGAATGACGCCTCTGTATTTTGGGTGGAGAGCAGGGGATGGCTTTCCCTGAGCGTTTTCAAAGACGAGATTTGCCTCCGTTGCAAACGCCTGGTGGGGAGGCTGGCCGGGGGCTGTGCAGCAGCAGGGGAAGGGGGTGGCCGTGCTCGCGAGGCTCTGCTGAGACAAGTGGGAGGCGGCTGCCTTTCTTCTCTCCTGCTCTGATGTCGGTGTGTTTGCTGAGGTGTGGGGGATATTTAATGGAGAAAATTGCTTTTTCGGGACAAATGTGGGAGCTGCAGGTGCAGCCTTCTTCCCTTTGAAGTGTCTAAGGGCAGAAGCGAGCCCCCCGCCCGGGTCCCCCCGGTGCTGCAGGGTTGGGTTTGGCTGCTAAGGGGCGGAGAGAGGGAGAGACCTCGTCCGTGCCTCGCTGCTCCATCCCAGCTGGGAATTGGGCTGCTCATGGCCACCGGGAGAGGAGAGGGCATGGAGTCAGGGCAGGGCGTGCCTCAAACCACATCCCAAATCCCGCATCCTAAATGAACCCACGTCCCAAATCCCAAACCACACATTCCGAATTCCAAATCCCGTATTTCCAAATCCCACACTGCGCATCCCAAATCCCGGATCCTAAATCCCGGATCCAACAGCCCGGGCTGTCCCACTCCATTCCTCCGTGAGCCATCCCAGAGAACCCCAGTCGAGGTATAGGAGCAGCAGCACAACCCTTCCGAGCTCCGAGCCCCGAGATCCGATCACTGAGCCCCGAAATTCGAGCCCTGAGCCCCAAGAACCGATCTGTGAGCCCGAGCTCCGAGCTCCGAGCCCCGCCCGGTCGCTCCCCGCCCCGAGCCGCCGCAGCACCGCGGACAGCGCCGCAGCCCGGTGCCGCCCGTCGGGGCCGCACTCACCATGATGGAGAAGACGAGGGCCACCACGTTGATGGGCCAAACGGGGCAGAAGCAGGAGAAGATGGCGAGCACCAGGTAGTCCCGCGGGCGGCCCTGGTCGGCAGCCGCCGTGCTGGTGGCGGTGGAGGAGGCTCTGCCCAGGCTGAGCCGGGACGGAGACAGCGGAGCCGCCTCCAGGTGCCCGACCGACACCGACTTGTAGGAGAGCCCGTGCCCGTTGCGCTCCGCCTCGCCGGCCAACGCGGCCGTGAAGGATTTGGAGCCCCGGAGGCCCTCCCTGCCCTCGGTGGCGGCCAGCAGCTTCTCGGTCTCCTGGAGGCGGCTGGGCAGCACCGTGCCCGAGCCCGAGCCGGAGCCCGAGCCCGCGGGCGCGGCGTCGCCGCTCGCCATGGCCCGGCGGAGCGGGCTCGGAGCTCGCCCCGCCACCGCCGCTCTGCGCTCGGGGCTCGGCGCCCCGCGGGAGGCCGTGCCGGAGGAGGGGCCAACGGGGCTCTGCCCGCGGGGCAGGAGCGGGGCAGCGCACCGCCCCCGGGTTGGCTCGGTTCCTCCCGAGGAAGGGATGCTCGCCGGGATGCGGAGGGCCGAGGCGGGAGGGAAACCCCCCGTGGGATCCTCCCACCCACCCACCCACCCTCCGCGCGGTTCCGTCCCGCCCCGCGGAGCCCCCCGCGCTCGGATCCCCGGACACAGCAGCGGGTGCGAGGGGCGGGAGGGAGGGTGGTGGCTGCCCACCAAGCGGCGGCTCTTCGCCACCGTCTCCGAATTCTCCCTCCCCGCTTTGCTGGGGGATTCCCGGGCGCGGAGTGCCACCTGTGTGCCCGCCCCGCTCCGGCTGTCACTCCGTGGGGACCCGAAGAGCCGCTGTCCACCGGCAACCCCACACCCCGCAGCCTCCGGACAGAAAAGGGATCCGCATTTATAACCGTGAAGCAGGGAGCCTCGATGGTCTCAAGTGTTTTGTCTTTCCTGTTCTCTCATCTCTCCGAACATTTATTTCCATCCGTTTTGCTTTAACACCAAAATGTGGGGTAAAAAGTGAAAATAGAATTGTGATGGAGAGGGATTAGTGCTAGGGTGGGCGTGGGTTTGGTTTGCCTTTCACATCTCTGGATCCCGGTGTTCCTGAGCTCACACCACGGTGTATGAGCGCTGGACACAGGCAGAGCCACGCCGCGTAGCAGGAGATACTGATGGGAGACATAGGATTCCTCCAGCAGCCATGGCTGCATCCCTCCTGGAAAGGGGAACATCTGCCGGAGATGAAAGCCAAGATGTCTCACACCGGCAGCGCTTGGAGGAGGATCCTTTGCTGAGCAGAGAGCTCTCTCTCCTGGCTGCTACGGGCTTTCCTCTGCCAGGCTCATTTCCCAGCTCCCCCACCCCACCCTGGGTCTAAAGGAGGAAGGTTGGCACAAGAGGAGCTGAGGGCTGAGCCCTCCCCTGTCCCAGCCAGGAGCTCGGTACCAGATCATCCCAGAGATCCACTCTGCAGTCACCAGGAGGAAGCACGGGTTTTCCAAAGGCAGACATCTGTCTCTCTTCTCTCCTGGTCCAGGCTTACAAATCTGTCTGCGTACCAATATGTGCACCAATGGGCTTAGCATTAAAAGTACAACCGAGTTAACCTTTCCCAGCCCCTGCTCCCTTAATTCATCAGCTGGAACCAGAGCCAGGGGCTTTAGTGTGATCCACACACACCATCTGTCCACCTCACACACAGTAACAGCCACTGCCCCGATGCTGGGTTTTTAAGTCATGTTTTCTCACAAAGCAAGCAAAAGAGAATAAATAACGGTCACAATTTCCAGCAGAGAAACCTCACAAGAAAAGAAACTGCAGAGCTGGCCCTTCCTCCAGCACAAAGCAACCTCCTCCACGCTTCCCAGCTGAGTTTCCAGGCTTTGCTGGGCTCACGGCACCTCAGCTGAGCTCCACATCCCACTGCTCACACACAGTCCCATCCCACTCCCCTCTTTGTTACCTTCCCGGCACCGCTTCGCCCTCCCCGCTCTGTGGCTCAGTGGATGGGGAAGCATTGGAAGCCAGAGCTCTGCAACCCCCCCAGCTGCCAGGGGAGCGGTGCAAGAGGGAGGGCTTGAGGGTTGCTTGCGTGCTTCTGCTGACTCCCCACGGGGTAAAACACAGGGCTGGCTGCTGGGCGATCCTCCTGCGGGCTCTCATAGCACTGGAGTTGGCTCTCGGGAGGATAGCAGCCGTAACCCACAGCACTGGGGGGCACGAGGCGGCCGTCCCGCATGCCCTGCCTGCGGCACTCAGAGTGGGTGCAGGGCCAGCAGTGCAAGGACAGGGACAGAGCGGCGATGCGGTGGATGGCTCTTCGGAGGGTGGCGATTTTGGAGAGCCTCTTGCCTCCGAGGTCGTGCTTGAGGGCCAGGCGCAGGGCGTTGAAGGCTTGGTTGTAATCCAGGATCCTCTTGCGCTCCCGCACGTTGGCTGCCATCCTCCTGGCCTTGGAGCGTGCCGGCCTGCTCCTCTTCCTCACCTTCATCTCCTCGGTGTCCCCCAGGCAGGCGGTTGCATTCCTCCCCTTAGGAATCCACATCTTCTGCCTGCAGCATGCTCGCGGTGCTGCCCCTACTTCCAGCTCCTCTTCTGAGCCATCAGGCTCTCCCAGCCGTGCTGCAGCTGCTCGGGACATGGCTGTGGTGAGCAGGACGGGGCGAGGTGCTCTTGTGGTCCTGCCTTCCCCAGGGCTGCCACACACTGCTCTGGGGTCAGGCAGCCAGCCCTAAAAACCCCACCGCTATCACGTGGCTCCATCCCAGCCCCCAGGTGCCGGCCCTGCCCAGAGGATGCTCCCATTCAGAGACCTCTCAGATTGCCAAGTCCAGCCTCGGACCACCCCCACCATGCCCACTACCCTCGTCCCTCAGTGCCACATCACTGGGCAGGAGCTGCAGCGCTGTCTGCCTCCTGCCTTCTTGCTGCTGGGAGCACTGCTGGGTCTGCCCATATTTGCCCTTCTTGGTGGAGACGATGAGGCTCCTTTTGCCCCAGATCTCCTTGTTTCCTACAGCTTGTTTCCTAAATCTCCATATTCCCCATGGGTCTCCCAGCCATGGGATGGAAGTCAACAGGAGGGCCGGGCTGCTTGCAGTTTCATTCCCTGCCCTTTTGCCCACCTTTTCATTAGAGAGCAGCTGCTAAATGCCCTCCTGCACAACGGGGTAACAATGTTTTGAAAAATGGCCCTGGAGAGTCATTGTGACAAATTGTTGGGGCTACTGGTGCAGAAGCCAAGCCCTGGGAGAACATGGTCCCCTTTATCCATCCCTTCTTATCTGATCATCCCGCAGTGGGGTTGATCAATGGCTACAATTAGCGGGGCTATTTGTCTATTGCCCTTCTCCTCTCTTGGCTCTTTGAAGTGGGAGCTAATTTAGGTGCCTCTGCTTCAGAAACTCCATAAATCAGGAGCCAGGGCCTGGGGGAGTGGGGAGGATGAGGCAGTGGGACTTCAAAGAGAAATGAAGCTTGCAAATAGCTCTGAGCACCCACCTGTGCTCACCATGACCCTCTTGTTCTCCCGGTGGCCTTCTGGTCCCCCAGTCCCTGCAAGCTACAGGCCCAGCTCAGGAACAAAAAGCAATTTAATTTTCTGGGGGGTGATTTCATGCCATAGTCTTAAGGAAATGCTACTCTGTGATGCCATGGGGATGCTTTGTTGGTGCAGGAAGTTGAGCCGACACAGGGCTGAGCACATAGATGTACCCATGGCTCCTGTCGTACCCTCATCCCACCCAGAGCCCCAGGAATAGCCATGAAGCTTTGCTGGCCCCAGCCCTGCAGGGACTCAGCCCCAGCTCTCGGAAGGACCAGATCATAAATCACAGCTCGTCGGATGCCACCTGCTGCCTGTAATTAGCACAGCCCGCCAGGTGTCCCCACCTCGTCCTGGACATTTCCTACCTACCTGCCCATTACTGGTGGGCAGGTGGGGAGGGACACCTGCCTGGGGCTGCTCCCTCAGCCCCCCTGATTTATCGCTTTGCATTGGGGAGATTTATGGGTTGGGATGGGCAGCCAGAAATGCAATGTAAAGCTCTGCTGGGCCGTCTGCATGACAGGTGATGGAAGGGCTGTAATTATCTGTCGCCACACATAAATCAGTCGCTCACAACACCCCCTCCTTCTCCCCTCCACCTCCTGAGAGGGTCTCAGCACTGGGGATGGGCTGTCTTTCCAGAATGGAACAGGGCATTATTGGGCACTGTCCTCACCTGGGCTCCAGTGTCACTTCTGTCACTGGCCCCAACTCCCAAAATGGGTATTTTGGGAGTCTCTGCCCCACCATCCCCAAGGGGAGGCTGTGCCAAGAGGAGCCCCAAAACCCTCCCCATGGGAGCAACCGCCGTGGGGACAGGAGCAGCCACTCTGGGGATGGAGGAGTTGGCTGTTGCGACACTTCCTGGGATCATACGTAAATGAATAGGGTGCTTTCTTCCTGCTGGGCCACAGCCAGGTGGCAACAAGGGACACAGGCTGTGAATCACCACCCTGAGTCACCTACACTTCCCTCCTCTGGTGAAAGGGAAACACCATTCCTGTGTGAGGCGTGGGGAGCAAAGCACTGCGCACCAAGCCAGGTGTCACTGTCACTGATAAGAAGCCAGGTGTCACTATCAGAGTGCCATCGTGCCAGGTGTTATCATCAGAGCACCACCAACCTGGGGATGCTGATAGCCATAAGCCTGGCACGTGCGCTGGGATAGGGCAGCTTCCACTACTCAGTGCCACTGAGGCTCACTTCTTGCTGGCTGAGAAGCAGCTCCTTGCAGTGCGTGGGATGGTTTGAGCCACTTGGTTCGCTGCTCTGATGCTGCTGGCAGCAGGCACCGCCTCATCTCAGCACTCAGCATCCTCCTGGCACATGCCAGCAGCTCCAAGGTGGACCCTCACCAGGAAGGGCTCAGACCAGCTGCAGGTACACGACCCTCTCAGCATCCTCCTAACACGTCAGGAGCTCCTTGGGAGACCCCAGGTTGCACCTCGAGCAGGAAAGGCTGCTGGTACAAGAGTGTTATGCTGGCACCTCTACCTCAGAGAGGTTTCTTTAACCTGGGGGTGGCTTCCTCCCGTGTTCCAGGAATGAACGCCGAGATCCGGCTGCAGAGAGTCGGGCCGGGAGGTGCCGGAGGGAGGTGGTAGCGGTGCCCCCGCCCCGTCGGGGCCGTGCCGAGGAGGAGCGGCCGGGGGCGGGCCGGAGGGGCCGGGCGGGAGCCGACGTCAGGGCCCGCGGCGGTGGTGGGGGGCGGAAGGAGGAGGAGGAGGAGGAGGAGGAGGAGGAGGAAGGCGGCGGGGAAGCCCGGGGATGGCAGGCGAGGAGGCGACGGCGGCGGCTCGGGCGGACTTTGCCCGACATTGGCAGGAGGAATTCCCAGGGGAACCGGCGCCCCGCATGGAGCTGGGCTCGGTGCGGGCCATGGAGCGGGAGCTGGAGCGATGCCGCCGGCACCTGCGGCGCCTGCAGCGGGCTCTGGCCGAGGAGCGCTTCAAGGTGCTGTACCTGGAGGCGGCCCTGGCCCGCGCCCCCCCGCGCCCCCCGGCCCCGCCCCGCCGCCGCCCGCCCCCCGCCGCCCCCCGCGGCAGTTCTCCGGAGGGAGGCAGCGACGGCAGCTCCGGAGCGGAGGACGCTTCCTCGGCAGGTGGGTGGCGGGGGACAACGGCCCTGCGGGTCGGTGCCCGACAGCGGGGTTGGCCCCTCCGGTACGGCAGAGGGGTCGTGCTGCCCCGCGGCCCCCGCGCCGGCTCCTCACCGGGCTGTCCCTGTTCGCACGGCCAGGGGGTTTCTCGTGCTGTCCTCCCGGGCCACCCTCACGTGCCAAATCCGAGGACGTCGTGCTCCTGTCCCCCCACCCTGTGCCCTCCCTGCACGTGGTCACGGCACGGCAGCGGATCTGAAAGTCTCCCCAGGAGGTCCCCACCACACCGCCAGGAGCCACTCGTGCCTCAGTTAACGTCACCCCCAGCCTCGTGCTGTCCTGCTCTCAAGGGCATCCCATGCCAAGGCCCCATCCTTGGGCCGATCCCATGCAGCCACTTCTTGGAAGTGCCACCAGCACAGCAGCCACCTCCAGGCCTTCGGATGCTGCACAAAAGCCACTTTCTCCAGGTGCCTTAGCTCAGGGCTGTGAAGTCCTGCAGCCTCTAAGGCAGATGTGTGAGGTGTCCAGGCATCCTGAGGACACATTATTTTGCAAGCTGCTGCATGCTTCGTGGCACTGAGGGCGCAAGCAGCCAGCACTGTCACATTGTCCTACTTCCAGCGGCCTGGAAGTTGTTATTGCATCATCCCGTGTGCTTTTATCCCGATTCAGACACAGCCCTGACAGCCAGGAGATGGCACTTACGTCGCTGACTCTGCAACTGACTTGCAGTAGTTTTGCTCTTGCTCAGTCTGTTGGGGTTGATTTGTTCCCTGCCCCAAACAAACTGAGCCCAAACAATCGGCTCCCAGAGCTGGGGGCTGTGTGGGTGATGGTGATGGTGACAGTGGTGGGCTCTTCCCAGCACGTCCCATGCAATCCCTTGGCATCAGCACTGCTTTGTTGTGCATTATAAGGGGCTCAGTGTGTGCTGACATTTCACAGCAGAGTCTGAGCGTACAATAAGCAGCGTGTGGCTGATGACTGGATCCCCCTTTTAGTTACGTGCGGCTCATTTATTGCTCTTGCCTTTTCTTCTCACTTCTCTTTATTGTTCAGCTGTAGCTACCAATTCCTGGTTGCAGTGCTGCTTGCCAGCTGGGCTGTGATGTTGTTGGTAATTTGGTGCCTGCTGTCTGGTTTGGGGTCCCCCAGTATTTTCATGAAGTTTTGGGCTCTCCTTCTGTAGGCGGCTGAGCTCACGGTAACGTAATGCAGCAGCGCTGGGTATCGCCTTTATGGGAATTACCATGGGGAACACAGTGGTTTCCGTTAAGTAGCTTGTGATTAATCTGATTTAAAGCGAGGATATCTACAAGATGCCTCCGTCTGCAGCTATTGCACGAGAGGAGGGCATGTGACAGCCAGATATGTGATGCTGGCATTGGAGATAACGCCCTTGCCAGTTCTCTCAGGACCGACCCCATCGGAGCGTCAGCGAGCAGATGGCTGAAAGGAAGTGTGCAAAGGGCTGGCATTCCCTTCATCTGGCCATCACCTGTCCCTGTGCTGGGGACTGAGAAGGGCACAGGGGGGATGCATGTTGGGGGGACGCCCTGAGCTCAGTGCTTGGGTTGCAATCAGAGGAAGAGCACCTCCGTGCTCGGTTTCATTGCTGGGAAGTTTAGGAAGAGGCCTGCTTGGTGTGAAGCTGCTTTGCTGCGTGAACTTTTCTTGTGGACACACTGCAGCCCAGCAGGATGAGGGCAGAATGTTTGGTGTCTGATACAGCACAGCAGGATGCTGTGAGTGAAATCCCCTGCCCTCCATTAGCTGGAATCACATCTCGTGGTCTCTTCCGTGAATGCAATCACCCCACGTTTGCTGTGACCTTGGGAAGTGTGACCCGAGTCCTAGGGGCAGCAGTGGGGTCCCCATGGCACAGGAATAATGAGCACAGCCCCAGTGAAGCTGAGGGGGTGAGATCCCAAGAGCCCCAGCAGAAAAGAGAACAGAAAACAGCATGCAGTCCGAGGTTTGTCTCCATGCATCTCTTTTTGTCCGGAGCGGAGCAGAGGTGATGG